TAATTTGTCGTAATGTTATAGTGTCTTGACTGAATTTTTTATTTTAGTGTCAGCAATTGTCTGTCACGAAAGGTTGGGAGACCAACAGCACGTCGCTTTACCTATTACAGTTGTAAAATAGCGTAATCTTCGTGTCCATAGAGCTACCTTGCGCTTTCGTGATTCGTCATATTGTTCGATCCGGTGATTTGTCTGTTGAAGAGATTCATGTAGGCTCTGTCCCTCGAGATTTGTTCCTTCTTGGACTGAGTTTGGTTCGTGTAGGACGAAGCGTGATTTAAAGATAGTTTGAAAAGTTGGGTCGGGTTAGATTTTTTTTTTTCCTTCCTGGGTTGGGTTGAACTTTTAGAAAAACAAAAAATTTGTTCAGTTTGCAGGTTGACATTTTTTGGTTAGGTCAACCCGACCAACTCGAAAATAGGATTACAACCCAACTCAGCCCTACCTAGTTTTAAAAAAATTGAGAATATTTAACCTTTGTAATCAATGATAGTGATACGTTGTGACCAGTAAATATTTGATATTTGAATCTTATCAGATTTTAATTATTAACATAACGTGTATTATGGATAACTCGACCAGACAGCCCAATCGAACTCGAATATAGATGGTTGGATTAGATGGTAAACTTTACTCGGATTGTTCCGGTCACCAACCCAATTAACCCAAAATTTTGGATTGGTTAAAAAAAATTCGATCCAACACCACCGGTCGTACTACTAAATAATATTATAATTTTTAAAAAATTATAAATGTCTTTTTTTTATATATAATTTAACCCTATCTATCAAAGGTAAAACTCATTTTACGGACAAACCCTAATAATTTTAGTATTCAAAAAACAAACGACATGGGTGTTGGCCATTTAGTTTTGTCTGGGCACGACGTGTCGTGTCAAACTTGTACGGCTCCGTTACCGTCATGTCGTTTTCACTCTTAAATCTGGTTGGGTCCCACCTCTCCAGTGGTTTGGTCTGTTTGAACATAGTAAAATAAAATAAAATAAAATAAAATAAGAATAATAATATAAAAACAAAATTATTATTACTATTATTTCCAACGGTTCAATTTCCTTTATTATGATTAATTTAATTAATTTTTATTAAAAATAAAAATTATACTAAACAGTCCCCTCCTCGAGATTAGTTGACGACTATCACGCGAGAATTATACTAAACATATAGAACATAATCCCGAAGATGAACTAGCTATAAATTACAATGTGAATTCTACGAGTTTAAACCGTTCACTACTCGAGATTAGTTGACGACTCTCTGATAGTCTCCAAAGATAACCTAATAGCAAGAACACGAGGGCACCAACCTTGCACTGCAATCAACAACTAAGATACAACGTGGATTCTGTCAATCTTGATAAACGAGCACACGACTTGTTTCTAAGAAGAGGAAAATAGATTTGCTCCGGTATTACTTTCTATAGTCCCCGTCCTTTTATAACTATCTGTTTATTTCCGTCGCTAGGTTTAATTTCACTCATAATAACTGAGAATGTTTGATTAATACACCACACCTAAATGATGTGAAAGTTATCTTATTTATAATCAAATAAATTACAAGGATATGGAAATAACAATAAATGAAAAGATACTATGGTAATAAGGCAAATATCTGCCTTATAATAAAATATCAAATAAAATATATATGGTAAACTATAATTTATTACTAAATATCTTTTATCAATAACAAAAAGTAAAATTGTTGATTAAATAAAATTACTATTTAAAAAATATATCTCGGTGGTCTCAAAAAATTAAAATATCTATCAATATCGTAATAAATTTGTAAATTGAAGAGTTCGAAAATGATGCAGAAAATTAATTGATTTAGGAGTAAAAACAATTTAATTTAATTTTTGTATTTGCTAAATTAAAATCTCGATATGATTAACATTAAAATTTTAATAGTTGTATCAACCTATAAATAATAATAATAACGCTAAATTAATAAAAATACATTTAAATTTTACATTTTTGTCTAAAAATACCACTAAATTTTTAAAATTTTTCAATAATACCTTTAAAATTTTTAAAAAATCTAAAAAAAATACTTTTAATTTTAAAAAAATTCAAAAATATGTTTGAATGAAAATTATTAATATTTTATTTCATAAAATTTTTTAAAAATAAGTTAACATTTTTTTAAAAAAATTAAAAAACCATTAATAAGTTTTTATTCGTATATTGTCAATAATTTTTTAAAAAACTTTTATTTATAAAGATAATAAATTAAAAATATTAAAGATAAATATAAGAATATTTTTGGAGTAAAGTATTAATTAAAATATATTTTTGAAAATTTAAAAAAATTTAAAGATATTATTAATAATTTTTTTTGTTTGGAAATTGGACATTTAATGCTTTCCAACGAACGTAGAGTTGATGCCACAAATATAGAAAATGGGACCCACATTACAGGTGGCAAATCATAATCCAGCTCATTAGACAATAATACTATTTTGTTTTGGACTAAGATTTGTGGGCCCCACCTGCGGTAACCAAAATACCTTTTGAGTTTATTTATTTATTTATTTATTATTATTATTATTATTATTATTATTATTTTCTTGCACGTGGCTTCAACACACACCATTATTAAATGTATAATTTCAAATTAAAAAAAATATAATTATTCAGTTTATTATTGAGCCATAAATACAATCCATTAAAAAATTAGCACATGTTTATCATAAAAAAAACAGATTTAATCGAATCAAAATGATTCGGATATTATTTTAATTGATCATCTCGTTAATCTCTTGTGATATGGTCACGTCATTGACTATGTTTGTTTGCTCATATGTTTTCTAAGAAAATTTCTAAAAGTTGAGCAAAACATATTTAAATTTAGAGTTATTATGATTGAGCCACTGAAAAAAAGGTGCACCGTGTTGGTCGGTCATTTATAACACCTCAAGCCCATCGCTAGCAGATATTGTTCGTTTTGGCCCGTTACGTATTGTTGTTAGCCTCATGGTTTTAAAACACGTCTACTATGGAGAGGGTCTAGCCCTACTTCGATTAGTGTTTCGCATCGTCCGGTGACTGGCTCTAATACCATATCAAACAACATAAGGTCACCGCTAGTAGATATTGTCTGTTTTGGCCAGTTACGTATCGTCGTCAGCCTCACAATTTTCAAACACATCTACTATGGAGAGGGTTTAGTCCTACTCCAACCAAGGATTCGCACCATCTGGTGACTGGCTTTGCTGCCATTTGAAACAGCTTAAGCCCACCGCTAATAGATATTGTCTGTGTTGGCCTGTTACGAATTGTCGTCAGCCTCACAGGTTTAAAATACGTCTACTATGAAGAGGGTCTAGCCCTAATTCGACCAGTGCTTCGCACCGTCTGGTAACTGGCTCTGATACTATTTGAAACAGCTCAAGCCCACCATTAGTAGATATTGTCCGTTTTGGCCAGTTATGATGGGTCTAGCCCTACTTCGACAGTGCATCGCACTGTCCGATAACTGGCTCTGATACCATTTAAAACAGCCCAAACCCACTGCTAGTAGATATTGTCCGTGTTGGTCTGTTATATATGGTTGTCAACCTCTCGATTTTGAAACACGTATGCTAGAAAAATGTTTCCACACTCTTTTAAGAAATGTTTCATTCCTCTCTCTAACCGATGTGGGATCTCTCAATATTTTTACTCGAGTGTCACATAAACAGGCTTAAAAATAATATTTAATTTGATATCATATTTTATTTATTTATTTTTGTAAGAAAAATAATGTAGCCGACACAATTATGATTTTGATTTGAAAAGTATGAATATAAGATAAAGTGATAAATAATAAAAAGAAGAAATAAATTAGAAAAAGTTAGCAGACAATATCAAATTTCTTATCTTATTTTTGAGGTTTGTTCTACCATTTTTTATGTTGTCATGTTCCATGTTTTTTTTTTTTTTTTTTTTTTTTTTTTTTTTTTTTTTTTCGTTTTTGTTT